AAAATGATAGGAGAGTAACTGGAGGTGATTATACATATCTTTTACATAAATATGCTGTAAAGGAAAGCAATAAATAGGCTGGCTGTAAATCAATGTAGAATCAAGTGAGGGTATTTGTTTTTATTGTTATTCTTGATTGATTACTTTAAGATTGGGATAAACCATTTGAAAGTAAAAAAAATGATGATTCAGAAGAGATTAGAGAGAAAATAATTCTGTAGTGATAACCTTCCCTTAAGGAGATGAGAGGCCAATTCATCCACAATAAAAAGAGAACAAGCAGGGATTATGCATGCTGATGCAGAGAGGGTGACAGATGAGTAATGGAAATTTACAGAAATGTACTTCTGATTATTTCTAATTTCTCCCTCAAATGAGAAGCAATTTTTAACTCTATGGATAGAAATAGTGTTGGAAGATTGATAGGAGTTATGATATAGTAACCAACCAGGGGATGTAGAATAGTGAATGCTCCAGACCATAAGCCAGCAAATGATGGCTCTCAGGCTAAATCTAGGCCCTCATGGGTTTTTGTAAATAAAGTTTTACTGGAACACAGAATATGGAAGTAATGGGCATTTATTTACGTATTTTTATTATTGTTCTTGCACTATGAAGTAGAGTTAAGTGGTTGCAACAGAAACCCCATGGTACATAAAACTTCACATATTTGGCCATGTGCAGTAGCTCATACCTATAATCCCAGCTGGTGCAATGGCTCACACCTGTAATCCCAGCTACTTGGGAGGCTGAGGCAGGAAGATCACTTGAACCCAGGAGTTTGAGACCAATTTGAACAAAATAGTTAGAGATCCATCTCCAAAAGAAAAGAAAAGAAAAAAACTCACATTTTTGCTCTTTTGTCATTTACAGAAAAAAAAAGACTGCCAACTCTGTTCTAGAAAAATGGATAGGTTTCTTGGGGGTTCTGAGTGCTCACCTAAACTTAGGTGAGTCTCGGCAAGTGTTTTACTCCAGCCACATCACGCTATGCAGGCTCAAGTGTGGAGGAATAGGCAGACAGCTGAATTAAATCAAAGTTGGCATCTTACCATGCTTGTTTAAGGAAAGTAGAGGGTCAAAGGAGCTGAGGATTTGCCAAAGAAGTTTTTACAATGATGAACTTGTAATATAATCTAGTTACTGAAGGACATAAGGGGAGTGAAGGACTGTAGGAGACCAATAGGGATATGGTCCTCATGGAGTAAGAAAGCTTGAAAACGGCAGATGGAAGAGGGAAATTAGATACCTGAAATTTAGATTATACATGGTTTGCAATTATCAGAAATTGTGAATTTTTATGATTTCAGTGGCTAGGGTGGAATAGGGTTAAAACCACTGGAGGAGAAGGAACAAATACCAGCCTCTGCAACTGACTTGTCAAGGTATTTATATTACTATCTGAAGTCTCCTCTTGTCTTACCAGAAACCTCTCTTGTTACTTCAAGCATAAATTTTACACTTATATAAATCAATATGTATTCTAATCAGAGAAATGTGAATGATACCTGATGATGCTTGGATATTAGGTAGTAGATGTTAAGAAACCAAGGGGAAATATTTTAAGCTATTTGTGTCAACTTCTATAAATAAGATAACTTAGATGTTTAAAATGTAATTTTTTTTTTTAAGATGGAGTCTCACTCTGTTGCCCAGGCTGGAGTGCAGTGGCATGATCTCAGCTCACTGCAACCTCCGCCTCCTGAGTTCAAGCGATTCTCCTGCCTCAGGCTCCCAAGTAGCTGAGACTATAGGCACCTGCCACCACACCTGGCTAATTTTTGTATTTTCAGTAGAGATGGGGTTTCACCAAGTTGGCCAGGATGGTCTCGATCTCTTGACGTTGTGATCCGCCCAACTCGGCTTCCCAAAGTCCTGGAATTACAGGCCCTAGCCACTGTGCCTGGCCAAAAATGTGATTTTTCTATCATTGCATTTATCACATTGTTATCTGTAACCTACTTGGTGTACTACTTACAAGTTATGATCTAGGTGGCTTAGAAAGCATAATTACTTTTAAATCATGGAGGTGTCATTTGGGAAAATTGTTGTCCTGCTAAGTTTCATTCACATGCCAAGGCCACTCAGTTCTCATTCAGGATGCTGCATTTTTTCTCAAAGAACTGATCTCACTATCCAAAAATAAAATATTAATACTAAGAAAGATGATCAATATAATAATCTTGGTGAACATTCTTTGTATAAAGAAAAGCAAGTGTAGTTTGTAACTTGAATGACAGGGTAACTGTGTTGCATTGGCTGGGTCATTAAGTGTGGACGTGGATGGGACGATATGGGGATACTACTTCTAGCTTGTGTTATAAAGTAATCGGTTGAGTTATTCACACATTCCTTTAAATGTTGTTAGTATTTCTTAAAACTCACTCCTTGTTTCTGGGAATCTTCTTTATATATCAAAAGGCTAGGTTGACATCATCTTTTCTTTTGAGAAAGTTGATTAATAGATTAATTAATAGGTGAACAGGTTTCTAGAAAAATTAACAGACGTCAGAGTTAAATGATTTAAAAAGACTGGAAAAAGATTTGCTAATTCTCAATGCTCATTTACTAGAAAACACAAAAGAACTTCATGTGTATTTTTAGTGGATCATATGGGTAAGCCTTCACTGGCATGTCAACTAATATATCAGCCAAAATGGTAATGTTAATCTATTGATGACAAGTTGTATAAATATTTCAGAGAAAAGAAATATCAATATCTTCGGGACACACCAAAAAAATGTGGAGAGAGAGAAAAAACAATAAATCTGGCGCTTAAAATCTGGTGCTTACCTACGCATAGTTCGTATCCTAAGTGATACCAAAAAAGCACCTCTGCCCCATCTTTTGGTGCAATATTTTTTGGTTATTGTTCTTTCCAATATACATGAAATGGTTTGGAGAATTTGACTCACACAGTTAGATTTATCTTCAAATATTCTATTTCTATCGGGATGGCTCTCAAGAGGCAAAAATAATTGTCGAAAAAGTGAAAAAGCAAACATTGCAACACTTCTCTAAAGACAAAAATAGTTCCCATGTTTCAAATCAGAGCAGCGGTGTTGGGTAGCTGGATGGGATCAGCTCCTCTGTCAGTGGGTTCCAGGTTCTTGGAGACTAAAGAGTGTTCTCTTTAGTGTTCCAAGACCTGGACATTGAACACTTGCTCAAGAACCTGGAGTGGAGGGCAGAGAACCCTGAAGAAAACAGTATGTGCAGTGTCAATTATTTTTTGCATAATTTTACTTAATAGGTTGTTATTTTTTGGTCTAATTTGGGGTTTTTGTAGTTTTGACTTTTTAAAATTGTTCCTACATGAAATACATTGCTTCCAATAACAGTGCTCTTTTCTTTCTCTCTATTACTCAAAGGATAATAACAGAATTAGTTGGATTTACACTTAACCAGCTCTTCTCCTTTCTAGTTTTTAATTTTCCAATTGTTTGTTTATTTTTTACATTTTGTTTGGTATTTCCAAATACTATCTATAAAAGATTTCACAGATCAGCAATACAGTGGTCAAAATGATATTATTTTATTTAATATTTTATTTCATTATTCATTTAATAATGAATTTAAGAATTGATTTCCCTCATTTTTAAGTTGTTTTCAATTTTATATTGCTAACCTGTGATGGATTTTTGTGGTCAAGAGCCAAATAACCTAAAATGATCAAAAAGGTAAAATGTTTTTTGTAAGAAGAAACTCAAGGTCCTGGGTTTATTTAAGAAAATAAAAATGTCTACATTTGAGCTAGAAGCATTTTACACAGATTTGTCTCCATTGACTTAAAACAATCTTTTATCTGAAAACCTCACAGGAAACCAAAGAGAATTTCTTCAAGATGTTATAGTATAATTTAAATTTCCTGGTGGTCATTATATTTCTGCTGCCAGGTTGCCTAAATGAAATACATTTTAAAGTCACCTGTGTCTATTTTGTCTAAGGCAAGTAAACAAATAAATAAAACAAAGATTTACTTGTTCTTTGAAGAAATCTGATATTTTTAAGTTTTAACATAAAGAATGAAACTATTTACATGCAAGTTAGAGCTGACTTACACACATCTTATTCTCAAAGTAAGTAATTTCCTTAGGCTTAATATTACCTTTAAAATTCTCAAAAGGAAATTACTTGCTTTAAGGACAAAATGCACATTTTT